TTTTTTTTTTCTCAAGATATATGAATTTAAACATAGACTCATTTTGATGACTATAAAAATGATGGAAATAGTAGTAATGACTATAATGATAAATACAATACCATCAGTTGACGACAAATTTTTCGGGCATCTCGAACCCAGTCAACGGTTCGCTTATCCCTTTCAAATCGTCGAATACGTGATAATCCAGTGAAGATCCGACTATTCGGACGATCAAAGTCACCAAATGATTCCTCTTCTTCATTCTCCGTTACCGATGTAATAACACGGAAATTATCTGCGAATACAATTGCTTAACTTGTACACTAATATCTATTTATTTACTATCATTATTATTGAATCTAGAATATCACTTGCTAATGCTTTCCAATTTGATAAATATGCTTTCTTGATATGCTTTATAACACGTTTTTAATCGACTTGACCCGAAATATCATCGATTCAAAAATTAAAGATGATAATTTCAGTCTTCACGTTATAAATTTATAAGTCATTTAAAGCGCTAACTCTTATTATTATTATCACATCGATACCTGAGATTTCTCAAGTAAGGTATATTATTAAATGCGAGTTAGCTAATATTCTAAACAATACGCATTGATCTATTTCTTTAATTTCAGCAGAACAATAAATTAGAACTTCAAAAGTTATAAACAATAATTAAACGATTTACTTCCTCTGCTGTAATTTTCTTCTACATCGACATGCTTGCAAAAACTGAAGCTAAATTGATAAGCAATCAATAAGGCTATGAGAACTGCACAAAAGAGAAAAACCTGAAAATTAAGCATAAACATAAACACTGAATGTTTTCGTCAGCTTAACCTAGTAGAACACACGTAAGTGCCTTATTAAAATAATTACTAACTTCAATATTGTAATGAGTAAATAGTTTTCTTTTTGAGTCAAAATCAAAATAGGTGCAGAAGATAAAATTAATGAAGACTAACTATTAGCAAATTTTACGTGTAATAGTTTGAAATTTTTGATAAACTACTAAATATTCTTCGCTTAATGGTAGTAGTGATCATCTAGACAGCAACAGATGGATTGGTATCCATTTAACACGTAAGTAATGCTCAGAGAAATTATAATAAGTGTAGTTTCAGAAAAACAAACAGACAAACGTATGTTGAAAGTTTTGAAGAGCAGCTAAAGTGCCTACTTTCTTCTCTGTGCGCAACTTTCTCATTTTATTTTTTGAACAACAGTATTAAAGAGAACTTACGTGTTCACAAAGAAAATAGACGACCCACGTAACTCCATTCATAACAAGTGCAAACACTGAAAGCATTGTTGTAAGCAAAATTGTTGAAACAAAGCATCAAATATGCTTTCTCAAAAAATGAAAAGCAGCCAGTCTATTAACCTATTTATCTCTGAAACATTAAAAATCTTTATGCAAAAATTGCCAATATTTGCATTAATGGGATTTTTCGCTATTAAAAAAACGATTTCCGATCGAAAGTAATATGAACTGAAAACTAACACTTGAAACACTGCACTAGCCACAAAAATAATGATTACAACTACATTAATACTGATATATTAATATCACTGATAACAAGATTAATATTAATATCATTGATAAAAAGATTAGTATCAATACCACTGATAACAAAAATAATGTCAGTAGAGACAATAAATTAGCAATCTCTTTTGTAATCAATCAATATTAAAAAATAATGAAAACACTTGCGTGAATCATTAAAAAATACTTGAGACTTTTTGTTTCGT